GGGGAGCAGGGACGACTCCCACGGAGTGCCGGCGGTGCCTGCGGCGCCCGCGCGCGCGCACCCCACGCACATGCGTAAGAACTTGGGCCGCGAGGGGCCTCGACGGAGGGAGCTCATGCGGAAATTGTGTTCGGCGAGATATTTTTCGACGAGGCTGCGTTATTTGCGAGACGCGCGCGCGTGATTCGGGACATGGCGTGCCCACACGATCGTGAATCCTCCGCGCCCGGGGGGGGGAGGGGGGGGAACGACACAAAGGGCGGCTGCCGAGCACACCACCAGCGTGCGTGAGAGATGCACTCGCACGGCCCGGCTGCCAAGCCGCCCTCCAGCGCACGGGCCCCGCTGCAATTAGTAGGGCCCAGCGTCTCCCCCCCCCCCCTCCCGGATGCTGGCATGAGGATCGCCGAGAGGGGCGACGTGGGCATACCCTCAAAAGGGCCCGCCCGTGGCGCCCTGCGCGTCGCCCTTGGCCGCGCCCAGCCTCCGGCTGGAGGTGTTGCACATTATACACGAAATACACACGCAATGCTGGACACACATATAAGTTGCATTTGGGGGCTGGGTTTTTTTTTCTGAGCATACAAGAAGAATCCATCGAATGGAAAGCAAGGACATGGTGGTGGTGGGGGGGGGGGCACACGGGCGAGAGTCTCGCCGCCTGCCTTCGGGTCCCCCCTTCCCCCCCCCCCCCCCCCCCTACCGAGGTGTGGGCCTCTCTCTCTCTCCAGCAGGCCCCCCTCGCGCCGAAACTCGGAGCGCGGGGCAAATGGGCAGGAGGAGGGGGAGGGTGCGATCGGGTGACAGCGGGCCCGAGGAACCCCCGGCCGGCTCACACCCACGCACCGAGAGCCGTCATGGCTGCGCTGCCGAGGAACATGCCGGCATACAGCCACAGCCGGAGCCGGGTGCCGGCATGGCTGTCACAGAACTCCGGCTGGGCCAGCTCCTCGCGGACTAGGTGCACCCAGCCGACGTAGATGAGCAGGCCGCCGGCGGCCGCTTGGAAGCCGGCCGACACCAAATCCAGCGTCGTGGCTGACAGGTTCGGCCAGTAGGCCAGGCCGATGCCGATGCCGATGCCGGCCGGCACGGACAGGGCGAAGCCCGAGTGCATGAGCGCCGCCTTGATGCGGTCGACGCGACTTTCCGGCGCGTGGAGCCCTGCCCGGACAATGCGCGACCCGAGGGCCAGACCCTCGAACAGCTGGTGCGCGGCCAGGGCCGCCAGCAGGCCGGCCTCCAGAGACCCGGCGCCGGAGGACACCCCGAAGGCAATGCCGATGACCAGCGAATGCAAGGCCAGCCCGGTGAAGAGGACGGTCAGCTGGGCGGCGGCCGCGCGCCGGCGGAGCATGCGCGCCTCGGCCGCCGCATCCACCACCGCATGAAGCTGCTCATGGTAGCCGATCTTGTCGGCCATGGTGCTGAATCGCGACAGGGGGGCATTGTGAGAGTGGCCGTGGCCGCCATGTGAGTGGCCGTGGCCGCCGTGCGAGTGGCCGTGGCCGCCATGTGAGTGGCCATGCCCGTGGCCATGGTCTTCGACATACGCCTCGAAGGCAACACTGACAGGACAGCCGGGGGCGGGGGGGGGGGAGGGGGGCCGGGAGATTGGGAAACCGACCAATCAACGAGGAGGGTGGGGCAGTGTGAGCAGGCAGACCCGGCAGCGGGCGATCGGGGGCGGGACAATGCCCCGGAGGGGGGAAAGACGCACGAGCTGGCTTGCTTGGCCGAGAGGGTGTCCTCGCGCGAGGAGGAGGACAGTTGCGGGCTTTGCGACCGTGAGGACAAATGGTGCTGCGAGATGGAACCGTAGGACCCGCCGGAGGAGGCGGAGGAGGGGGTGGAGGAGTCCCCGGAAAGGAGGCCGGCCTGGCCCGGGGGGGTGGGAGGGTAGACGCCGGACAGGTGGGTGGCGGGGCCGTCGAAGAGGGGCCGGTTCTCGGTGGCCGACGGCCCGTCGGCCGAGCAGCGAATCGACGTGTCGGAAACCGACCGGCGGAGGCGGTGGCCCGAGCTGGCGAACGAATCGCTGGCCGCCAGCAGCTCGGACACCGTGGCCGGGGGCTCGTGGAAGTGCGTATGCGTGAGGATGCCCCCGTGGTGATGATGCGGGATGTGGTGCATGCCGGGGCCGGTGGGCCCGCGGGCCGCCGCTGGCCGGGGCGAATCCACGCGCTTGGTCACGGCCAGGATCGCCGGCGGGACCGGCTGGCACACCGGCCCGGCGACCGAAGCGCCGGGCATGGCGCCGGCCCCCGGCAGGTCGCCCTCGCCATCAAGGCAGGCATCCATGTCGTCGCAGAGGGCCGCGCTGGAAACCGGGCCGGCGCCGCTGTCCAGGTCGCGCTGGCGCCGGCGAGCGGCCAGCCGGGCGGTGGCCGCCTCGGCGGCGGTGTGGCTGTCGGGCTGGTCGGCGCAGACATCGCCGCCCTGAGCCGCCAGCAGGGCGGCCACCATCTCATCGGCCGCGAAGCCCACCAGCGCCCCGGCCAGGGCCGCCACCCCGGCCCACGGGAAGCCGTGACTGTGGGAGTGCGCCGTGCCGGCATGCGAATCGGACCCGTGCGCGATCTCGCCCACCTTGGCAAAGGCCTCCGGCAGGGCATGGACCAGGGCCACGGCCACCACGGCCCCGGCGCCGAACCCATGGAGCAGCTTCAGCACCGGGCTTTTGCGCAGGCCGCCCGGGTCCTCGGCGTCCTCGGGCGCCGGGGCGTTCGGGCCATCCACAAGCGACTCGTATGTGTTGGTGGAGGTGCGCCGGCGCTCGGCCCGCCGGGCCAGGGCCGTGGGCACGCCAGACCCGATGAGTGCCAGGAGAAAGACCAGCGCCGTGCCGGCCAGGCCGAGGATGAGGGAGCTCTCCATGGCGGGCGGGGGCGG